ATGCCAATGCGGCGCTCAGCAATCCCATTTTGCTGCGGTGAGTCCGGAAGCGTGAAGGTCTGATGGATGCCTCGTGCACGAGAGTAGGCTCGCAGAAGGCCAGAGGAGAACTCTCCGCCTCTGTCCGAGTGCAGACGCAGAACAGGAAAGTCTGAGCCAAAGCTCTGCCTGAGCTGGAGACGAGCTGCGCGGATCCAGTCGATCAGCACCTCAGTGACATCACCCTTGCTGCGCAAGGGGAAGACTGTGGTGTAACGCGAGTAGTCGTCAACAACGAGCAGGAAGTAGCGCTTGTGACCCTGTCCACGGACGCGGGCTGGGCCCCACACGTCCATGTGAAGCGTCTGCAACGGGGCCTCCTCGGAGGAAACTGGGAGGAGTGAGGGGCAGCACGCTGGCGCCCCTCGACACAGGGGACACAGGCAGGGCCCGGGCTCTGAGGAAGGGGAGGGAGGGACTGGGGCACACCAGACACAAGAAGACGGGAGGCCATGCCTCTGAGACGAAGCAGAGAGGGGTGACCAAGGCGGTGGTGCCAGAGGAGAGTCTCGTGAGACAGGAGACGACACGAATAGGGGGAAAACTCAGGACCAGACCTGGACGCTGCAGCAAACACCTGACCCGAGGCAACTACCCTACCAGACTCAGCAACGGGAGGAGACGCAGTGGTCAGTTTGTACAGGCTCGACCTCGGCTGACGGGTAAACGTAGCCAGGTGTCGACCTGTGCTAGCCTCGGTGCAGTGCGTCACCCGCTGGCGCGCAGGAGTGAACTGGTGGACACCCGCGTCCTGTAGTTCAGCACCACTCACCAGGTTCGTAGAGAACAAGGGGAGGTAGAGACCAGACAGGGTGCCAGAGGGAGCCGCCGGACACGGGAGGACTGTAGAGAAGCAAGACAGGACAGGACCCCCAGAGGGGTCAGCCAGAGACACCGCAACCGGCTGACTAAGTGGCGTGAGTGTGGTGCGGTCCTGAAAGAAGGAGCGAGAAGCCCCAGAGTCAAGGGTGAAGGTGAGGGAGGCCGAAGCCGACGTAGTACCTGAGAGCGCAGACTCACCAGTACCTGAGGGCGCAGACGCACTGGCACCTAGAGCAGCAGCCTCACTAGCACCTAGAGCAGCAGTACCAATGCCCGGGTCGGGCGGGAAACACCGGTAACAGTCACCCTCATCACTAATAGTCACAGCATACATGGCAGCAAGGATAGCATCAAAGTCAAGATCAAAGATAGCTACGCCTGCCCTAGACAGCTCTCCCCAGCGGGGGATCTCACTGGCCTCCGGAAACTGCTGACGCCAAGCGTCCGTCAGGCGGCCAAAGCAGCGCTGGGCGGTGTGGGCACCCCCACACTGCTCACCCGCGCGGTCGCCGGTGCGAAGGACGTAGGTGCAGGGACCAAAGCTCCCACCACGCTGACGCTGCGTGTACCACTCACGAAGCTGCTGAGGGGACAGGCCCTCAAGACCGCGCTGCTGCTGCTGGCGCGTGGCACCACCGGAGCCACTCCTCTGCGAAGACCCGCGACCAGCTCCACCGCCACCCCCGCCGCCTCCGCCGCCTCCGCTACTGCTGCCGCCTCCGCCACCGCCTCCACCGCCGCCACCTCCTCCACCGCCGCCTCCACCGCCGCCACCGCCGCCACCGCCGCCTCCACTGCCGCCACCGACCCCTCCACCCCCACCTCCACCCCCACCGCCACCCCCACTCCCCCCACTGCCGCCACCTCCACCTCCACCGCCCCCGCTCGCTCCTCCAGTGCCCTTGCCCCCCTTGCCCTTGCCAGGGCGGCGTCTCCCGCTAGGGGCAGACGCCGCACCGACCGACTCAAGACCAAGGAGGTCGGCCGCAGCAGCAAAGGCAACAGAGGGCAGAAGGGGAAAGTGGGAACACCCCTCAAAGATGGGGGTGCGCGGGTCACCACGAGAGGCCCCTACAGCGACAATGCCCTTCTCGGCCGCTAGGAGGGACTTCTCGAGGAGGTCTATAGTGAGAGTGGTGGGACAGACTGAGAGGAAGTGGTCCCTGACTACGCGAAGGGAGTCAGGGAGACGAGTGACTATGTAGTAGAGGGTGATGTACATGGGGGGGGGGGGGTCTTGGCGCAGAAGTCAGCAGGTAGTGCAGCGCGGTAGCGAGCGTCACTAGTGCGGAGGTGCGTAATGAGGTCAGCGACGGTGGGAAAGGCAGCAAGGTCAGGGAAGAGGTACGGTAGCATGAGACGGCTCAGTGCAGCAGTGGCAGGGGAGGAGTAGCGCGCAACTACAGCGTCGTAAAAGGTCTGAGCACTCTTGTACTGACTAAAGTGCGCACGCTCAGAGGTAGGGAGGTGGCGACGCACAGCATGACGTGCAGCAGCGTCGCGCGTGGCCCACTGGGAGCGAACAGTGGCGTCAGCGTCAGCAGCAGGTGGAGGGGCAGTGCTAGAGGTGAGGTCAAAGAGAGAGAGACTGTCTACCCTATCGCACTGTAAGAACAGCTGCAGGTCATCTAACCAGACCTCAAAGTCAATGGCCCTACCCTCAGCATCAAAGGCGAGGACACTAGGAGTAGCCATGACCCTAGACGACCAGTAGTGCAAACAGTAGGGTGGGGGGGCAGTGCAGTGTCAAAAGGAGCTGTGCTCACCGGACTGTGCAGGTCGGGCGGCTCGGAAGAAGGGCGGCTCGAACGCTCGGCTGCTGGGCTGCTCGGCGGCTCGGCTGCTCTGCGGCTCGGTGGGGCAGCAGGTGACGGGCCGGGACGGCGGCGCGCGGCCGGGACGGGCGGCGCACGGGCGGCGTGGGGCCGGGACGGCGGCGCGGGGCCGGGACAGGCGGCGCACGGGCGGCGTGGGGCCGGGACAGCGGCGCGCGGCCGGGACGGGCGGCGCACAGGCGGCGTGGGGCCGGGACGGCGTCGCGGGGCCGGGACGGGCGGCGCACGGGCGGCGTGGGGCCGGGACGGGCGGCGCACGGGCGTCGACGGGCCGGGGCAGCGGCGCGCGGCCGGGACGGGCGGCGCACAGGCGGCGTGGGGCCGGGACGGGCGGCGCACGGGCGGCGTGGGGCCGGGACGGGTGGGGCACAGGCGTCGACGGGCCGGGGCAGCGGCGCGCGGCCGGGACGGGCGGCGCACAGGCGGCGAGGGGCCGGGACCGGCGGCGCACGGGCGTCGACGGGCCGGAGCAGCGGCGCGCGGCTGGGACGGGCAGCGCACGGGCAGCGTGGGGCCGGGACGGGCGGCGCACGGGCGTCGACGGGCCGGGGCAGCGGCGCGCGGCCGGGACGGGCGGCGCACAGGCGGCGTGGGGCCGGGACGGCGGCGTGGGGCCGGGACGGGCGGCGCACGGGCGTCTAAGGGCCGGGACGGGCGGCTAAAGGGGCCACTAGGGGCCGAGAAAGAGGGGAGCGCGACTCGGGCAGGGGCAGAGTGCGCTCCGGGCAGGAAAAAAAAACGGTGGGCCCTAGGAACAGTTCCCACGAGGGAACCTGCTCGATACCATGAGAAAACTAAAACGAGAATTAATGAACTATGAATGAAGTGAGTACAAATAGGAAACCCTAATTGGGTTGTACCCCCTATGGGATACCCCACTATAGCCTACACAACAGCATAAGCTATAATGTTCTGACAAAGAGGAATGGCGTCAATATGGTAGCGGATCGTGCAAAGGATGTGAATGACTATAATGGAAGGGCGGCAGGGCACTTCTTCCATGTGATGGCCGGAGAAGCAGCATGTGTGAAAAGAGCACGAGACGAATCCGCGCGACGCACTTGGACCTTGGACGCTAGAGCCCTTGGTCGATGACACCGTGTGCGGAAAGTATTGGTGTAGCACCCGTTTCAGAAGCCAAGTATGGATCTGGACATTCAATGAGAGTGATGGGTGCAAGAAGGGCTGCATTCTTGGGAGCTGACGAGAAGGCGATCGTGATTGAGAAAGTGTTGTTTCTACCAAAAATGATAGCGAACTTGATATCGCTAAGGAAGTTGGCGATCGCTAGAGTGAACACCGAGAGCAGAGCTGGGCACTTCAAAGGAATGTTCGGGAATAAAATGTCAACGGGATTTGTGGTTGGCCTCGTCCTCGCTTGGGCGGAGCCGACTTTGTGGTCGGGTGTGCGGGAGATGCAGCCGACCTGAAGTAGTTGGCGACGCCGACTTGGGCGTGCTGGTCGACAATTGTGGTCGACCTACATGGGTCCACTGCAAAGCCGCCGACCTTGGGGAGCCGGTGGCAGACTTCGGCCTGGTGGTCGACGAGGGGAGACGTCGACCTGGGTGGGGCGCCGACTTCGGAGGGCGTCAAGGTCGACCTGGCGAGGTCGACCTCGAAGGCGTCGACTTGGTGATGCCGACTTTGGGCAGCCGACTTGGTATGGTTGGCTTACAGCTGCGCTTGTCGACCTGAAGCTGGTCGACCAGGAGCGTGTGTTGGAGTAGGCTAGAGCTCGATCTGGCCTTTATTTTGGTGTTCTCTCATCATTCCACCATGCTTAGAGCGAGTTATGCTTCTAGGTTCAATTTAGGTTCATTTCGTAGCTATAGTATAGACTGAACACACCCTAAGTTCAATTAGGGTTTCCAATTCCTTTCTAGCCTTGTATCTCGACACTTCTTTCCTAATACAATTCTCTCGCTACCTTCTCTCTCCCTAGCCATGGCTTCCATATTCCTAGCTTCAACATGGTATCTAGAGCCAAATCCTTGGCGTTTTGTCCCAATCTATATCTCGTAGTACGGTTTAGGCCTTAGGCATCCGGCGCGCCATCTTCTTACCTAGTCGAATTATTTTTTCCCTACTATTTCGGCCCTTAATTTTCTCCTGTTTTTTTCACTCGCGGTACATTCTATCCATCGCCCGCGGCCTCCTTGCCTAGTCGCGCGCCCTGTTCCGTCGTCGCGTCGTCCTCCCCCTGCCCCGCCTCGTCGCGCGCCCTAGCCACCGCCGCGTCGCGCGCCCTGCCCGTCGTCGACGTGCGCGGCCTTCCCGCCGTCGACGCGCGCGGCCTTACTGATGTCGACGCGCGCGGCCTTCCCGCCGTCAACGCGCCCGCATGCCTTGCCCACCGCCCTCCCTCTCCCCGGCCACCCTTCCCTCCCCGCGGCCGCCCTCCCTTACCCTCTCGTTGGCGTCCTGCCTCACCTCCCTGCAGGCGCCTTCCCCTTCCCTCGTGGTGCACCTTCTTCTGCCGCTTTTGCACCACCTCCTCCTTCTCCCCTCACCCCTTTTGCCTCTTCACCCTCCTCCTCCTCTCTTCATACATTCCTCCCCTCCGTGCCTCTCCTCCCTTCCTCCACCTCCTTCCCCTCCGCCTCTGCCAACTGGCTGCGTGGTATTGGTTGCCACTTGGTGATCGTGACCCTACTTCCTCCCCACCTTCCGCCTCTTCACCCTCCTCCTCCTCTTCTCTCTCCCTCTATTCCCCCCCCCCCCCACCCTCTAACCTCTTCCTCCGCCTCTCTTCTCTCCCTCTCTGCTGCAGCTGGTAGCTATCTGTGTTTCGGCGCCAATCTCCTTCCACAACTTTCCGCCTCCTCTTGTTTCTCCCCTAAGCGGCGCAGCAGCAGACTACTCCGCCGCTATCCCTCCTTCTCTTGTTTCTCCCCTCAGCGGTGCAGCAGCAGACTACTCTGCCGCTATCCCTCCTCCTCGTATTTCTCCCCTCAGCAGCGCAGCAGCAGACTACTCCGCCGCTATCCCTCCTCCTCTTGGTTCTCCCCTCAGCGGCGCAGCAGCAGACTACTCCGCCGCTATCCCTCCTCCTCTTGTTTCTCCCCTGAGCGGCGCAGCAGCAGACTACTCCGCCGCTATCCCTCCTCGTATTTCTCCCCTCAGCGCCGCAGCAGCAGACTACTCCGCCGCTATCCCTCCTCCTCTTGTTTCTCCCCTCAGCAGCGCGGCAGCAGACTACTCCGCTGCTATCCCTCCTCCTCTTGTTTCTCCTCTCAGCGGCGCAGCAGAAGACTACCCCACCGTTATCCCTACTCCTCTTATTTCCCCCCCTCAACGGCTCAGCAGCTGACTACCTCGCCCCTATTCCTCCTCGTCTTTTATCTCCCCACATCTTCTTCATTGTTATCCCCTCCTTAGATGGGGCCCCTTATCACTCTTCCCTCTCTTCCTCTGCGTTTCCGCCCTCGCCCCTCTCTCGCCGTACCTCCTCTCCTACCCTTGCCTTCCCTACTCTCCGCTCCCTTCGCTGCCCCTTCCTCCCCTTGCTACTCTCCTGCTTGTCACTGGACCACCCCTCTTCTCCACCCCTCTGCTTGGATTCCGCTGTCCCATCGGCGTCGCCGCTCTTCTGCCGCTGTAACCTCTGGTATTGGTTCTTTGGCCTCTGTCTTCAGTGTGACCATGCCATCTCAGGATAGCATCCTTGGTGCTTCTCCTCTTATGGACCCTCACTTTGTCGTTCCATTTTCTCCACCTCTTCACAACACTCCCTCTCACTTGCCCAGCCCTACGGTTGCCGCTCTCTCACTTCATCGCACCTTGGATTTTGTCCTTGACAGTGCTGCTACTAACTCTGTCTTCCGTGATGCTGGTGTCCTTCGTACTTTTCCTCGTCCCCTTTCTATTGATGGGGCAGGGGAGACCATGACCATGATCTGCACTGGCACTTCCTCTCTTACTTGTCATGCCTCTCCCTCTGGCGCTATTACTGGCCTTTATGTTCCCTCTTGCCATCACAACCTTTTATCTCTCCCTGCCCTCCAACACCTGGGTGTGCGAGCGCTCTTCCCCGAAGGTGCACTCTATTGTGATCTTCATTACCTTGACCGGCACCTCGCTCGTTTCACCCTTTCTCCTATTACTCGCATTTACACCCTTCGTGTTCCCGTCCCCTCCTGTGTCCATCACACTTCCTCTTCTGCTGCCCCTCGTGTCTCCGCTTGTGACTGTCGCTCCCTCACCCAACCTACCTCTAGTTAATAGCTTAGGGTTTTCTCACCTTTTAGTGGTAGGTGGAGCGTGAGTAGGGGGCGGATGTCAGGAACCAGGCTCCACTACCGAGAGGAAGGGAGAGAGAGAAAAAAAGATAAGGGTGAAAAAAGGATAGAGCAAAAAAAGTCACGAAAACCAAGAGAAGCGTTACTGAATGAGGCATTCTTCGAATGGAAGGAACAAGTAGATATAAACTCAAGAAACATAATGAACGAGATAGTATGGAACGAACATGGGACTGGAACGAAATAAGAGGGAAAAACAACAACCGGATAGCATATAAATAGAGAAAACGATTCATGGTAAGCGAGAGATAAGAGCACGATAGGGAAAGATGCAGCCTTATTAACGACCTAAAGAATACAAGGACAGGTGGCGTCTTTACAAAAGCCTAGAACCTAGGTTTCAACAGCTTTCACTCCATTAACACGACCAAACGAAGATCTTAGTCTAGCTTGAAATCGTCCAACATAGTCTCTAGTTGATATCTAGGGGTCTTCACACCTTTCAGTGGTAGCAGTAGATGGAACGTGAGTAGCTGGCTCTGTCAGAATATTATCTTATTGTTCTAGCCTGTAGTGGGGTGCTCTATAGCGAGTACAACCCTTCTAGGGTTTGCTATTTGTATCCTCATTCTTGCTAGTTCAATCCTCTTTCTTTCTGTAACTTTGACATGCTATCAGAGCAGGTCGATCCCCTTGGATCGATCCTGTGGGTGTGTCCCCACCTTGCTTCCGCTGCTACCTTTCCTTCCCGCCGTGCGCCCCGAGGCGCGCGGCGATTTTTTTTTCCTTCCCGCCGTGCGCCCCGAGGCGCGCGGCGGTTTTCTGCCCGCCGTGCGCCCTAGGGCGCGCGGCGGTTCTTTGCCCGCTGTGCGCCCCGAGGCGTGCGGCGGGCGTCTGCTCTACGTCGCGGCCCCGCCCTACGTCGGGCTTCTCCCCTACGTCGCGGCCCCGCCCTTCGTCGCGGCCCCGCTCCTCGACGCGGCCCCGCCCTATGTCGCGGCCCCGCCCTGCGTCGCGGCCCCGCCCCTCGAAGCGGCCCTGCCCCGACCGTCGCGGCCCCGCCCCACCTTCGCGGGCGTCTGCCCTACGTCGCGGCCCCGCCCCGACCGACACGGCCCCGCCCTTGTCGCGGCCCCGCCCTACAGTCGCGGCCCCGCCCTACAGTCGCGGCTCCGCCCTACGTCGCGGCTCCGCCCTGCGTCGCGGCCCCGTCCCTTCGAAGCGGCCCCGCCCCTTGTCGCGGCCCCGCTCTCCTCTCAGGTCCGTCGTGGGCCCCACTCTCCCCCCCCCCCCCCCCTCCCCCTACCATTTCCCGTCGTCCGTCGTGGCGACCTGAGGGGCGAGCTGTGGGGTGGCGGGTATGGGGGTGGCCGGTGTGCCTTCCTCCCTTTCTCCTCCTCCTCCTTCGTCTCCCACTGCTGCAGCTGTCGCTGAGGGGGGTGGTTGTGTGGGAGACTGGGTTTAGGGTTTTAGGGGGGTGCGTGGGAGTAGAGCTAGTGGTGTAGCAGTGGGTGTGTATCAGGGGGGTGGGACTGTGTGCGGGAGGATGAGCGGAGGTTGCCAGTTTGTCGTCAGCAGCACCTGTAGTCCGGGGCGCTGTCCCGGTAGCCCAGTCGTAGCCAGCTGTGCCAGCCGCCCGTGGGTCCGTTGCCCGTCCGCCGCTATTTGAGCCGCGGGGCCTGTTACCCCTGTAGTCCGGGCGCTGTCCGGTAGCCGCTGTGCCAGTCTGCCTCCTGTTGCCCGTGTGTCTGCAGCTTCAGCCGTCGCCTCCTGTCTCCTCTCCCCTCACTCTCCCTCCTCCTCCTCACTTGCCCGTTGTGACTACCACTAGCTTTGCTTATAATTGTAAACTCTAAACTATTTCTTCTTGAACTTGTGCTCAGAATGTGTGGTGACATTGTGATCCACCCTGAGCTTGTTTTGCTTTGCCTGCTCTGCTGATTACACCCCACTTTGGCTATGGGGGTGTGTCAGAATATTATCTTATTGTTCTAGCCTGTAGTGGGGTGCTCTATAGCGAGTACAACCCTTCTAGGGTTTGCTATTTGTATCCTCATTCTTGCTAGTTCAATCCTCTTTCTTTCTGTAACTTTGACAGGCTCATATTAGAAACTAGGCTGCACTGGAGAGTGGGAGGGATGGAGGAAAAAAAGGACGTTGATGTCAGAATGTTATTGTTCTCTAGCCTGCAGTGGGGTACTCTATAGCGAGTGCAACCCCTTAGGGTTTCCTATATGTATCTTGTTGCTTTCTAGTGAACCCCCTCCTTTGCTTACTCTCTCTTGCCTAGCTAGGGTTTACCTAGCTATGGCTCCTACTTGTGCCTACGATTCTAACATGTTATCAGAGCGGTTACGCTCCTGGCCTGTGGGCCCACCTACTTCCGCTGCCCTACTGTGTGTCGCGCGCCCCATGGCGCGCGATGTTCGAATTTTTCTTCCGCCACGCGCTCGGGGCGCGTGGCGGTTTTCTCCCTACAGTGCGCCCCGAGGCGCGCGGCGGTTTTCGGCCCGCCGTGCGCCTCGAGGCGCGCGGCGGTTTCCTCCCTCATCGCGCCGTCTTGGGGGCCCGCGCGCCGGCCCCTCCCGTCGCCTCGCCGCGGCGCCTTGGGGGCCTGCACGCCGGCCCCTCCCGTCGCCTCGTCGCGGCGCTCTGGGGGCCTGCGCGTCGGCCCCTCCCGTTGCATCGTTGCAGCGCCTTGGGGGCCCGCGCGCTGGCCCCCCCCCCCCCTCCTCCCGGCGCCTCGTCGCGGCGCCATGGGGGCCCGCGCGCCGGCCCCACCGGTCGCCTCGTCGCGGCGCCTTGGGGGCCCGCGCGCGGCCCCTCCCGTCACCCGCCGTGGCACCCTCGGGGGGGCCCGCGCCCTGCTCCTTCGTGGCGCCCTGGACACCCCCCGCCGCCTCCCTTTCTCTCCGTTACCCGTCCCTCTTGCTTCTCGCGCTTCTACCTGCGTTAGGGTTTGTGGGTGGCGGGCATGGGGGTGACTGATGTGGGTCACCTGTAGTTACTCCTCCTCCTCCGTCTCCCACTGCTGCAGCTGCCGCTGAGGGGGGTGGGTGTGTGGGAGCCGAAGGAGTGGTGCTAGGGGGGTGATGTGGGAGTGGAGTGGTGCTAGGGGGGTGCCGTGGGAGTGGAGCTAGGGTGTGAGCAGGGGGTGTGTGTCGAGGGTGTGGGGTGTGGAAACAAAGAACGAGAATGGAATGACTATGAACGAAGTGAGTACAAATAGGAAACCCTAATTGGGTTGTACCCCCTATGGGATACCCCACTATAGCCTACAGAAACAAGTAAGCTATAAGTTCTGACACACCCCCATAGGCAAAGTGGGGGAGAACAAGGGGTCACAAGACCAGTCAAGCAAAGCAAAGCAAAGCTCAGGGTGGATCACAAAGTCACCACGCATTCCGAGCACAAGTTCAAAGGCCACAAGGCCAGTTCACATGCAAGATCATATATAGAGATATACAAAAAACAAGAGTATATATATGCGAAAGTACAAGCAAGGTCAAGAGGAGAGCAAGTGAGGCAAGACAGGCACAAGACCCAACTGCGTGCAGCAACGCTGATGATCACAAGGCGCAAGTGCCTTGGTGAACACATCAGCAGTGTTGGCCTCAGAGGCCACGTACGCAAGTCGCAGCTGTCCACGCTGCTGTAGCTCACGAGCAAGAAAGTAACGAAGAGCAATGTGCTTCGTTCTGTGCTCCAGTCGCTGCTCTCGACACAAGGCCAGCATGGCCTTGTTGTCTACGTACAGGACTGGAGGAGAACGAGGCTGCTCTCCAAGGTCGGTCAGCAGGTAGGTGAGCCAGCGTAACTCCTGTGCAGCCATAGCCCCAGCGTAGATCTCAGCCTCACAACTGGAGCCGAGAACAGAAGACGAGCGGGTAGCCCGCCACGAGACAGAGCCGGAACCAAGGCTGAAGGTGTAACCCTGTGACGACCGCTGCGTAGCCTGGTCGTCAGCCCAAGAAGCGTCTGCGTGCCCAGTGAGGACCACTGGACTGCGCCCTCCAAGCACTAGCCCCATGCCCGACGTACTGCACAAGTAGCGCAACACCCTCTTCGCTGC